ACAGCAGCCATTCACCAATTCAAATTAAAAAGTCTTGAAACAGCAGAGTAATTATACCGTAATTGCACATTGAGCACAGAGAAAATGAAGAGAGCCTAATTCTTTGTATTTATAACTTAACAACCTATGTGGAAAAAAAGACATTAGCATAAAGGGAGCCATAACTCGCCAAGTATGAACAAATTAATTCAAATAAATATTTAGGGTGTTATATCCTTTTCCATCTGTAGTACTGAGCAACAGCAAAAGTTAATTTTCAGATGTATTAATAATTAATTGAAAAGTTGATTGGAATTGATTGGAACACATTTGGAATGTTACTGTTCTCCTAGGATGTTTAAGATCGGCTTGGTGCCGCTCTCAAATTCTGTTTTTCTATTTTTATATATAAAAAAAACCTGGCACAGGACTCTACCTTCCAGCTGCTCTGTTGCAAACCTTACAGTCTTTCCAAAAAGGGAAGCTTCCTGTAAATAACATGGATGGATATTAGCTAAAATTTAACTGCATTTTTATGAAATTGACTTCCACATCTGAAGAGTAATATGTAAGTGGATAGATGCCATTAACACTAATGGCTGGTGTGTGCTTCCCTTGTATTGGGATTTATATTCTCAGATAGTGGCACATTTGGACTATTCCAAGTATTACTCAGAGTAACGGCGTGTGACCTACAAGCATAAAATTAAGAAGGAGAAGGAGAAAGGACAGGTGGAGCAGCAGGAGTGCTGGCAACAGAAATCCATTAGAGGCTCCAGTGAAACAACAATAGTAATGATAATGGTGATAATAACAATAAGAAACTAAAATAAAATGCACCCAGTGAAGCATGAATTCGTCTTCTAAATAAACAGGGATGGTGCTATAGATGCATATATATTTATGATCATGCACCACGCATGGCTAAGTTGTGCAGCTGCACATGAATTATTTTGCTGGCACATTCTGAAGATGGAATTGAGAATTATTCTGCCTGCTAGGATACTAACATGCTATGTGAGTTGTATGACACATCCTTAACTGCAAAGCAGAGGAGTCTCTTTTCGAACTGGACTGTTTTATGGGCTTTTGCAGAGTCACCAAAGGATGATAAAAGCCTAAGGATGATGCCAAATTTGACATTTCAAATTTCAGTTTGTTAACCCTGCCCTTGCTAACCTCAAGCTGTTAGGTAAGGAAGGGGAAAATATTCACCCAGTCTTGCAAAGGACCATGTTACATTTCTTTTGACGGCATAGAAAGGAAGATCCTGTACAGGCATCATGGTTTGGAAGAGAGTTCAAGCCCCCGTCTGAAGTGCAAATGATAATTGCCTAGCCATAGCAATGATGAAGCATCAGAACAACACAGAAAACAAAGGTGTTGATTAATCTGTGTCAGTTCAGCCAGTTTCACTGGTATGGTTAAAAAATAATGAATGCATTGATAATTCTAAACCCCACATCTCAACAGTAGTTTTCAAAGTGTCCCCCAAGGATGAAACGTTGTTTAGTTGTTTAGTCGTGTCCGACTCTTCGTGACCCCATGGACAAGAGCACACCAGGCACTCCTGTCTTCCACTGCCTCCCGCAGTTTGGTCAAACTCATGTTGGTAGCTTCGAAAACACTGTCCAACCATCTCATCCTCTGTCATCCCCTTCTCCTTGTGCCTTCCATCTTTCCCAACATCAGGGTCTTTTCCAGGGAGCCTTCTCTTCTCATGAGGTGGCCAAAGTATTGGAGCCTCAGCTTCAGGATCTGTCCTTCCAGTGAGCACTCAGGGCTGATTTCCTTAAGAATCGATAGGGTTGATCTTCTTGCAGTCCATGGGACTCTCAAGAGTCTCCTCCAGCACCATAATTCAAAAGCATCATTTCTTCGGCGATCAGCCTTCTTTATGGTCCAGCTCTCACTTCCATACATCACTACTGGGAAAACCATAGCTTTAACTATACGGGCCTTTGTTGGCAAGGTGATGTCTCTGAGAGGGGTAGGGGGAAAACCCTAGCTCATAAAAGAAGTGTCATATCTAGTGTGAGGTACATGTTCTGTTTAGAAGTTAAAATTATTTTATTATTATATTTTGTCAGAGTAACCAGAAGTAAAATAACCAATCAAGGCAATATAGAGGTATTGCTTCAGGAATCTCAGACAACATGTGATGTCCTGTCAAATTATGGTGACGAGATGCAAGAGGACAGGGCTTGTACACCTTTAATAATTAAAGGAACTGCAAAAATTCTGCCTTCTACACAACCCCTGTCCACTTTTTTCTCCCGGCCTCCCTGTGTCAGATGCAAGCCATGCTGGGTATCCAAATTCAATTTTTAAATGTTCCTAAAAGCATTCTTATTATCAATTATACCGATCACAGACGGCAAAAATGGCAAAACTCAAAAAGCCATGTAGAAAACAAATAATCTGGCCAAGATCCTAGTTAATATAGCTTGGTGGTAGACAACGTGGCTTTCATGCAGGAGATTCTGGCTTCAAACTATGGTTTCTCAAGGTAAAAAGAGTAGATGGTCTGAGAAAAATCCCTTCTTCCGGCCTTGAAGGTCTCTTGCTAGTCACAGCAGACAATAATAGGTTAGTCTGGCCCTTAGTTATGTCTACTGCTTTTCTTTGCCTACCTCCTTTGCATAAAATGTAAGCTTGTTTTCTCCTGCTCTGGAGGGTAGGACTCGAACCAATGGCTTCAAGCTACAAGAAAGGAGATTCTGTCCAAACATCAGGAAGAACTTTCTGACAGTAAGAGCAGTGGAACAGACTCCCTCGGGAGGTTGTGGACGCGCCTTCATGGGATGTTTTTTTAGTAGAAGTTGAATGGTTATCTGTTGGAGTCCCTTCCATCTCTACAATTCTATGATAATCAGAGAGCATAGTTACGCTGTGTATGTGTACACATGCACATACACACACACATGTTTAAGCTAGTACTAGAATCCTACGGGACGCAGGTGGCACTGTGGGTTAAAGCCTCAGCGCCTAGGACTTGCCAATCAAAAGGTCAGCGGTTCGAATCCCCGCGGCGGGGTGCGCTCCCATTGCTCGGTCCCAGCGCCTGCCAACCTAGCAGTTCGAAAGCACCCCCGGGTGCAAGTAGATAAATAGGGACCGCTTACCAGCGGGAAGGTAAACGGCGTTCCGTGTGCTGCGCTGGCTCGCCAGATGCAGCTTGTCACGCTGGCCACGTGACCCGGAAGTGTCTGCGGACAGCGCTGGCTCCCGGCCTATAGAGTGAGATGGACGCACAACCCTAGAGTCTGTCAAGACTGGCCCGTACGGGCAGGGGTACCTTTACCTTTACCTTTAGAATCCTAGAGCAAACATTTCAGTTTTCTCTGTGCTCCTACTCTCCAGAGTTGATAAAAGACTCCTATGCAGATGCTTTTGCTGAAGGCAAAGGAATGTTTCATCATTAAGGAGCAAGGCCCTTCAAAATCAGATGTACCCCTTGATGAACTGTTACCGTGGTCAGTCCAGTGAGTCAGCCCACCAGAGAAAGGAGTGCATTGTTTAATGAAGTTTTAATACAAAAAAGGAACATGATTATTAATTGCATCCACTGATGCAGCAGAAAGAGTCCTTAAAGATGTTCTTTTTGATATGACAGTGATCTTGTTTTCTTCCCTCTTCATGTTTTAAATGCAAGTCAGGCATAGGGAAAAAATCCAATTACTGTGAAATTTTCTGTCTTATGCATTCTTTCTATGTGATCCTTTTATTTTTATGTTGGCTCGGATGAAAGTGCTCCAGTGAAGTTTTGAGAGCTCCTTTATGTACAAGGGATTGGAGGATGAATATATCTTGTGTACAGAAATGTCCCATCCCCCGCCTCCAGTGTTGCTGCTTCTGTCTCCCACCAAATTATTTCTGCTTTTTGACTTGAGTTTGAGACAGCAAAGATTGAGAAGTACATTTTGAAAATTGCTCGAATTCTCAACAATAGGTTTGTTTCCAAAGCAGAACACAGGAACTCATTCTTCCTGTGGTTGCTGCTGCTGCTGCTGCTATTTTTTAAAAGCGCTCCCAAAAACTTTTTTGTGAAGTTATGGCTTCACCAAGAGGTGAAAATCTCCATGAGAGCTTTTTTAAAAAAAATATGCTCAAGTTCTCCCAAAACAAGATCCTTCTCAGGTTTTGGTAGAATCTCAGAAATGGCCCTTAAAATAGCAACATGAGTTCATTATTTGGGGAGGGGAACAACTTTGCGGAAAGTATGTTGAGCTTCTTTTAGGGAGGGGGAAAGCCATGTTTTTGGGGGGTGCAGGAAAAAATGTTTAGCCTTTTTTAGGGGAGCCAAACTTGTTGAGCTTCTTTGGGGGGAGCCAGTGATCTACCAGAGACGTCCAGTGATCTACCGGTAGATCACAATCTACCTGTTGGATGTGCCTGCTGTATTGTATCTCATCCTGACTTCAGTCAGAAGTGAACGGTCCATTCCCCTTCACTATGTAACCCATTCCCCCACAGGATGGAGCACAGTCATACCTTGGATCCCAAATGCCTTGGTACTCAGAAGTTTGGCTCCTGAATGCTGGTTTGCGAACGTTCTTTGGAACCCAATCAGAAGCCACGCTTTGGTTTCCGAACGTTTTGGAAGTCGAACGGACTTCCGGAACAGATTCCATTCGACTTCCAAGATACGAGTGTATTGTATGTGACTGGGGAATACCAGATTTCACCACAAGAGGGTGTACTCAAATGGAGATCTTGTGACTTCCTCTTGTTAGTACGGAACAGTCAGGTCTCGGACTAGCTCAAAGCCACATTTCCCTTGAGGTAACCTGTTTTTATCATTCATTTCCATTCCAGCTTAAGCTTGGTTACAATAGGACCCAGGCAAGTAGTTCATTTTGTCACACACAAACCTAATTGCAGTTCTATTGCTATGTGCATGTTTAGAAAGGTCTTCTCCACAGAGGGGCTTAGTAAATGGATTTGTGCCATTATAAACCTAATGTTCAACATACCTCAATTTGATATTTTCTTCTCTTTATATTCTTTTGTTTTTGCAGGTAACTCGATAGCAAAAGACAAATCAGATCACACTCGAGGCTGATAACATTAAATACAGCCAAGTAGGAAGTTTTAATATCCAACTTAACAATCCTCGAGGTCAGGCTTGAGACTGCTGGGGCATACTAATTATTTCAAAAAGAACATTCGCTGTAATCAGCAGCCACTTGAGATCAAAATGGCTGGAAAGTCACACACACGAGATTTCGACGGAGTGAACTGTGTACATTTGTAAAAAATAGCAAAAACATGAAGGGATATACGACCGAAGAAGTGATACTTAAAGGACGCCGAAGAAATAGCAATCCTTTGGATCCTTGCATTGAGACTTGTGACGTTTCACCTCGATGAAAGCAGTATACTTTGAAATGTACTGATCCATTTCCTCCGAAACTTTCCTGGTCCTCCATGCAAATTATTGGTGGGACTGTGCACTGCTGTAATCAAACCACTGTTCCAGAAATTGTCCTCTGACACAGCACAGTTTTAGACACTTTTAATTTGTATTCTAATCCTGAAGCTCCAAGGCTACATATTTCAACATGTCGAAGTTGCTTTTCTTATAGGAATGGAAATACTATATATCCATCGTTAATCATTATTGTTGGCAAGTAGTAGTTATCTGAATACGTCACCCATATACGAATGTATCATTAGTCAGACATGTTTCCCTATGACTAACCAACTACCGCAATTCCTTTCGGACAAATAAAGGGTGATCGAGACAGAATGTTCAAGCCCTTCCAATAACATGCTATTAAAATAATCAGTTCCGTATAATTTCAAGAAGATGGGTGTTTTTTGCATACACTTTGGTTTATTATCATTAGGTCCTACAAAGATTATGGTAAAGAATAAATGGCGCTAGCTAGTCCCTTCATGAAAATAGACGGGTGCATGTTAATTTTTCCATTCTGAGGTTCAATGGTATTCATTCAGATACGTTTTTTAGGTTTTTGGTTTTCTGTGCTTGAAAAAAATATTACTATCTGGATGCTTAAGTAGATGTCTGTTTCTTGATAGGACGAAATAGGTTTCTTCAAATCTGGAATCCATTGAAGATTTCCTTGGCCACTCCAGGTACATTGGGATCATTCTGTAGTTATTTTGTTAAACCAGAAGTTCTTTTCTATCTCCTATTTCAGTATCTATTTTTTAATCTTGGTGATCTACTGTTTCATGAAAAATCTTAATGTTTAAATGCCTTAAGCAGCTGTAAACTTTTTTTTCTAAGTTATTACAGAATGTATAATTTTATATTTCATTTAATATATTTACCATGCTATGTGGAAATATGAAGACAGAATGAATGGTTTCTTTTGCATTCCATACTGATGTTGCAAGTTAGTCTTAGAGAAGGCAAAGAGAGAAATTTCTACTCCATTTGTTTTGGGAGGTAATATGAAAACTACACAAACTCAATCCTAACAGAAAGAATTATGCCCAGAACCTCAAGTTGTTTCAAGTGGTTACTAATATTTATGGGGAAAGGGAACTCTTTCCCATTGTAACAAATATTTGGCGTGGCTAATTATAAATAAATTGGGTTCTATGATGAATGAACACCCTAAGGTACTTTTTCCTGTCATATGATACAAGATTGTTCCACAACAATTTCATTACCTCTTGTATTACGGCACTGGATGAAAGAAAACGAATGATAGCTGAAAATCAATCTGAAATGTATAGTATATAATTCTGCTACAGAGTAATCCAAATTTTTGCAGAAGGGGTATCCTTGTTAATTAAATTTTAATTAGGATAAATTGATTGTAGCATCAGTTAGCAGTCTTGATATTTTAACAGGATTAATATTGTATGGATTTGTTTTTTAAAGGTATGTGTAATGGAGAAACACAGAATTCAAAAAATATGATTAATTCCTTTGCTTGGGATAGTAAAAAGTATAAATGTGTAATTTTGTAGCAGTTATGAGTTTGGCTTTAATTTAGCCAAAAAATCTACAACATGCTTCTCAACATCTTTCCCCCTTTGTGTTTATTCTTAAAACCAACACTGAAAATATTGTATTATATACAAGTGTAAGACATGCATATCAATAGGTGAAAAATAAATGGATTTTCGAATATACTGAACTGAGTTTCTGCAGTGGGTTAATGTTGTGATAACTGATAACCGGTGAATAAATTTGTGCTATAAAACGAACATCTCAGAATGCATATGCAGTTGGAAGCTCTTTTATATATATTTAAAAGCCTCTTTAAAAATAGATAAGGGACATTTCAAGATACAGACTCCAGTCTAGGAATTCTTGTTCCCTTCTTTGCCGTCTTCCTTTTATGCCTTGCTGAGCATGTCACCTTGTTTTTCTTCCTGGTTATCATTTCAGCAAACAGAGGTAGTAACTTTGGTGGCGGAGGATACTATAATGTTATTAACATTAGTGAGGCATGAATGTTCCTTTGGCATCAGAGGCTCCCCTTCAGTTAACACAGTTTCAGTGGCAAGAAAGGGGGGGGGAATAGTCCTTGGGGTTGAATTGGGTGAAGAGAGAGTTGTTCTGTCCAAATAAAATTAACTGATAACCTGTTCGACAAGCTAAAAAGAGCCCCTGTAGCCGCTGAATTCTTTCAAGGATTGGCTCCGGGTTCCTTCACTCTGTGAAGCATTGACATCATCAGTAGGGGAGGAACAAGAGGGAAGATATGAACAAGAAATCTCAGATTCCCAACTTTTTTTTTTTAAAAAAGAATATATATCTAGCTTTCTTAGAACCGGAAATAAAAGGCAACATGTACAATTAATATTCTAAATAAAAAATGGTGATGAATTAGCCTGTATTCTCCTGGTGTCAGGGACTGGGCAGAGGAGAAATGGTGGAGACCGCCTCCCTAGCCTGACCCTTCCAGAGAAGGAGGAGACAGTTCAGAATTACAGCAGGGGTTTGAGGGAGGTCACAGCTCAGAGGAAGATGAGGGGGAAAGCTGGGAAATAATGGGAGAGGAGGAGGAAGAAGTGCCAGAGGGGTGACAGCTGATAGACACAGTGTCTTTAGAAAGCATTCCAGACCTCCCCTCTCCCAGAATCCGGTGGTCATTGAAAGTAGGAGAGCAGAGAGCCCAGAGGCAAAGGGCACTTCTCAGCACCCGTAGTGATGACGCATGAAGAGGAGAGAGGGAGGGGGTGGAGATTCACTCGGGGCAACGTCACTACTCGAAGAGGCTGCATTTCTAAGCCTCTCTCTGTGAATATTGAATAAAAAACATTGGTAAGAACTTTCCTTGTCTTATCTGTTGCTGGCAACCTACCATGGGGGTTGGCTCCTCTGACACCTGACACCTGGTGTTTTCCTTTGCCCACCACTCCAAAAGGAATTGCTGTGTACATGCAGCTGAGAACATTTATCTTAGCCCTTAGGGAAGAAAATGAAACCTTTGTTTTTTGTGTAAGTGTTGGGAAAGATTGAGGGCACAAGGAGAAGGGGATGACAGAGATGGTTGGACAGTGTTCTCGAAGCTATCAACATGAGTTTGACCAAACTGCGGGAGGCAGTGGAAGACAGGAGTGCCTGGCGTTCTGTGGTCCATGGGGTCACAAAGATTCGGACATGATTAAACAACTAAACAACAACAACAAGGTCCAGGTTTCATTATTTAGCAATATTTTAAGGTCTTAGGAAGCTGCTGTCTACTGAGTTCATCTAGTTCAGTGTTTCCCAACCTTGTGCCTCCAGATGTTTTTGGCCTACAACTCCCATCATCCCTGACTAGCAAGACCAGTGGCAAGGGATGATGGGAATTGTAGGCCAAAAACAGCTGGAGGCACAAGGTTGGGAAACACTGATCTAGTTCAGTGATGGCCAAACTTGGTACTCAGCTAAGATGGCTAACTCATCTTAGCTAACTTGGTACTCAGCTTGGTACTCATCATCCCTAGCTAACAGGACCATTGGTCAGGGATGATGGGAATTGTAGTCCTAAAACAGCTGGAGGGCCAAGCTTGGCCATCACTGAACTAGTTGGTCTGTACTAAACTGGCAGTGGCTGTCCCAAGGTTTCAGCTATTTGAATAGAATGCCCACCTTTACAGTAGTTCTGCTTCCGGTTTCCTGCTGTGACCTAAGATGAGTATCTATTGTTCTGCTCATCCATTTGATTTACACCTGAATGATCCCAATGCATCTACAAGTCAAAGACGCAAGGTCTTTTGCAGCCAGTTATTTAGTACCACAGTTGTTACACCTGTGAACCGGTGTGGTGTAGTGGTTAAGAGCGGTGGACTCGTAATCTGGTGAACCGGGTTTGCGTCCCCGCTCCTCCACATGCAGCTGCTGGATGACCTTGGGCTAGTCACACTTCTCTGAAGTCTCTCAGCCCCACTCACCTCCCAGAGTGTTTGTTGTGGGGGAGGAAGGGAAAGGAGAATGTTAGCCGCTCTGAGACTCCTTCGGGTAGTGATAAAGCGGGATATCAAATCCAAACTCTACTTCTACTCTACCTCTGCTCTCCATAGATCCTGTCATGCCTGCCCAGTACATAACGTAAAAGTCAAAAAGGCAGTTACTGCACTGGCAGCTCTTTGGTTATGCCAACACAGTTGTGACCCAAAGTGCAGGCTTCACCAAGAGTATCATGGTGACAACATTTTGCTTGGTGCACTTCCATAAAGTCATCTGGAGCGATGTGGTCAGCAGAAAGCCTTTCTCCAGTGTGCCTACTCATTGATTATTAGACCTTAGTTCTGGATCCCAGAACTGGATCCCATAGGTGGAAGGAATACATCTGTGGCAAGTTGTTTACATCAGATGGTCTGCTGGCCCTGCCTTGACTTCCAAATAATTTGATATTATTGTCGTTATCTCTCCCTGTTGATTGACTCTTCTATCTTTCATGTCTAGAATCACAGCACATCCACTGCAAGCCAAGATAGTGGCAAATAGGACATGCTTTTGATTTTTCAGTGCAAATGTCATCCTAATCTTTTTGTCGTTGCTGTTTGTTTTCTTGCTGATAGTTAAATCGACTGAGCTGTGCACTGAGAAGATGACACAGCTGAACAATCTGATGGAATTAAATAGTTTCTCATAATTTCTATGCTGTTAAGTGGCACAAAGAGCATTACCTAATCACTGCTTGTCAGCCTTTGCTGTTTAATCCCCATCCTAGAGATCTTTCATGTTTACTCTTCTGTGCCACTGGAAAATGCTCCCAGATGATATATTTTAAACATTTAAATACTTGATCGTACAAACCTGTCTGCTCCCACTGCACAGTCTGTCAATGTAAAGACTTAGTAAAAATTTCAACTGTGAACTGTGTGTGTGCCACCATCATAAATAAATACCTTATGCTGTAAATAAAAAAAGTAGACTTTCTGCCACATCAGTCTCTTCTAATGAAGACATTGCTAATTTGAAAGAAACCTACTAACTGCCAATAAAAATATACCAGTACTCATCTCGTCTCTCTGTTTCTCTTAGACGCTTGGCTTCCACAATAAACAAGGGATGGTGAGAGTTAATGTTATACTTACATTAGCAGAGTTTAACCCAGATTCAAGTCTTTGCTCAGCTATGAAGCAGTAGACTACATGGCCTTGGGGCATGTCACTATGTTTCTGCCTTACATACCTCACAATGTTACAAAGAAAATATAAAGGAGATGGAACTGTGTATTATTATTATTATTATTATTATTATTATTATTATTATTATTAATTGATTTTATATATTGCCCTATACCAAGAGGTCTCAGGGCAGTTCACAGAATAAAATTTGTTACGACAAGCACAGCCAACACCCAATTGGAGTGGGAGACAAATTTTGCCCCCAAACACTCTCTCTCTCTCTCTCTCTCTCTCTCTCACACACACACACACACACACACAAATCCTGATTTATCTACAATGAGGAACCTTCTCTTTCTTGGGATCCAATTTCACTTCTTGAAAGGAGGGGATACAGACTTGGTCCACGCTCCTGTTCACTCTGCATCCAGTGTGCAGCTGCTGCTCGTTCAGGAACGGCTACACATAACATAACCACAATCCGCATCTATCCTGTCATTTCTTATGAAATGCTGCGTTTTGATGCTTTTGCCTCCAAGCCAGCTTCAACCAAATTGAGAAAAAGAACGACCTAGCTGCATTTAAGCCAATAAGATGTGCGCAGCAGCCCTAGTTATCCTGGATTTGAGTGACATCTGAAGTGATGCTCCGGAGACTTCTGTGTTTACTACATAAGGAAATAAGAACAACAACAACATAAGAAGAGCCCATTGGATCAGGACAATGGCCCATCTAGTCAATCAATCAACCTTTATTGTTATGATCTCAGATCAACCACACCCATCTGGTCCAGTATCATTTTCCCCCTGTGGCCCACCAGAGGCCTGTGTGGGTAACCCACAAAGTAGCATTCGAACACAAGGGCACTCTCTCCTGGCATTCAGAAGTGTCGCTACATCCAACTGCGGAGGGCAGAGCATAGCCATCATGGCTGGTAACCTTCCATAGCTTTCTCCATGCGCTTGTCCAATCCTCTTTTAAAGCCATCTAGGTTGGTGGTTGTCACTGCCTCCTGTGGGAGTGACTTCCACAGTTCAACTACGGTAATTAACAAACGATATGCCACACTATACTGCATTGTCTTGGAAGATTTAATATTGTGCTCAAAACATCTATAGACCATATACAGTGGTACCTTGGGTTAAGAACTTAATTCGTTCTGGAGGTCCATTCTTAACCTGAAACTGTTCTTAACCTGAGACACTACTTTAGCTAATGAGGCCTCCCGCTGCCGTGCAATTTCTGTGCTCATCCTGAAGCAAAGTTCTTAACCTGAGGTACTATTTCTGGGTTAGCGGAGTCTGTAACCTGAAGCGTCAGTAACCTGACGCATCTGTAACCTGAGGTATCATTGTAGTCAGAGGATTCCCGAAGTACCACTGTAGTCAGAAGATTCTGATTCCCACCCCCTCCCTCCAAAGCTTTGCCACCGTTTTATGGGGAAAGTGAATTCATACATTTTTATGCACCATAATTAACTGTTGTTGTTTCTCAGACATAGTCCCTTGATATCTTTCACATGAAGAGCTCATTAGATTCCTAGTGGGAGAGCATATGGAAATGCAAGATG